CCCCAGGCGGAGAGATGACTGAAGATTTTTTGCATAGAAGTGAAAATTATCAATGCCTACCTTGGTACTCCAATTTGATTCATCAAATATGTCGACGAGAGGAGAAATGAAAAATACGGCAACTGGAGGAAAAGACAAATGTTCCCGAGAAACAGAGCTTTTCGAAGATGTGGAACGGTGAAAAGATTCGACAAGGATTTCTTTTCTTTTTCTTCTTTACACTCGTCGAGGTATTCGTCAAGAATTTTCTCATTCTCCGGTTTCTTTCCTTGATAGAATTCAAGAGCTTTCCGCGCAGCTTCTCGATCTTTTCTAAAATTCCATTAAAATAGATTTAATTGAACTGACTTTGCAATGGCCAACCACTTTGGAGTCTCTCTCAAATAGAAGAGATAAAACGATCCAATTAACCCGAACGGAACGGGAATCATTAGAAGAATCGTCAAATGATTCCCCAAAATTGTCTTCATTCCAAAGATCATCCCTATTAAGCCCATCGCTGAGTATCCGAAGGAAAAGAGAGAGTTGAGGACTCCCCTCATTTTTGGAGTGCTCGTCTCCTGACAATACAACAACATCACCGTGTCGTTCATTGGAGCAAAGAAAGCACCTGGAGTTTTGTGCGATTTGATGATGTGTTGGGGTGAGAGCCTTTTTAGTATTACGTTATCTGATTGTTTTTCTTTGGGGAGCTATGTCACGAACTTCAGTAGCTCACTCAACGATGCATGCTGTGGCCTACAAGAACATTATGGAGATTCAAATGCTTTCTTTTACAACCCAAACCATGCCATCTGGATGGTTGCTCTACCAGGATAATGATCCCAAACATAAGTCAAGGATGATGATGCGACGAGTGGTGATTCTTCGAAATGGTACACGAGCACGACTTCCGGGCTGGTTTGCGGCAAGTCGAATCAAATTGATCAATCCGCCTCTCTACTCACCAGATATGAACGTTATCGAGCATCTCTGGTCATTTGTGAAGTCGCGACTCAAGGGAAAGAAATTCGATTCGAATTCGCCTTATAGGTTCACATTTAACGTCTCTGGGCCATTATCCCCCAAAGTCTTTGGAAGAATCTTGTGGATTCCATACCGGATCGACTCAATGAAGTGATAAAAGCAAAAGGAGGACCAACCAAGTATTGATTTAAAAAATTTTTATTAATTCTTTGCAAATGGGGCGTTATTTTTGTGGAGCTAATTTTTAAGTAACTTATTTTTTGTTTTATACTTCAATTTTTATGCGATGTATACCAGGTGTCTCATAAAAAAAACGTTTTCAAATCGAATTTCCTAAAAAGTTCTAGTGGCTGCAGGTAGCTGAAATGTCAAGATTTCCTTACGAAACACACTCTTGGATGGCAATAGGGCATTACTTTTGTGAACCACTGTATAATGACGAGCTTTCTACTTCAGAAGTGCAACTTACCGACAAATCGACCGAGAATCATGATTTCCGGATAAATTGTTAGAGTGGCGACGGCTTGAATGACACTCGAGATGGTCATCATGATTGTGGTGACAATGTAGGCTTCTGAAAATCACATGAGCCACTTAAAACACGTGACTTTTGTTTTCGAATTCCCAGTGCTCGAAGTTTCTAATGGAGGATTTGATACATAAACTATGCACGGCAACTGAGTTCGTTTTTGTCTTTTGTCTTGTTGAGGCAAACCAGTAAGTTTAGAATCGACTATTGCTTAAAATAGAGTCTTAAATCGTCTCTAAACTGTGTATTCACCTAAAACTTACTTTTCCTTCCGTACTTATCGGGGAGATGCGGTCCCAACACTGCGCCCAGCACTTGTCCCGCATAATAGACGCTGTTGTAAACGCCGCGAATCAACGAAATTTGTGCATCGCTCAATGAAGTTCCCCGTTTCCTGTAGCTCTCCTTTAAGAAATCGTCCACCCCATCGACGGCGGTATTTATGGAAGTGTGCGTGAAAGCGGAGAAGAGATTCGTGATGCAAGTTAGAATGCATCCCATCAAAAATAGCTTAGCATTGTAGCTAAAGATGAAATCAATTGACATTTTAAAGTGTGCAAGTCGTGAGAAAAAGGGGAAAGGATGGGAAATCGAAAAAAAAAGCTATAAAGAAATTATTTTCATTGATCACATTGGAACAATTCGAGAGAAAAATGAAATTTAAGGAAAAGAGACATTTTTAAAAAACCGGTGATACCGGTTTGATCAACACGTTGTGTCAAAATGGGAAACAAAAGCATTTATTCCAATTTATGGTTAATGGGAATGCCTAAAATAATTAAAACTTCCCATTGGATTACAAATTGGGTTTTTCCATTTATCAACGTGTGTCTTGATATTGCTGATTGCTTGATGACGAGTTGATGCTTGTGAAACAGATCCCGAAAATGAAGATGATCAAAAAATAGCACCATTTTTTTTAAAAGCTGAAAAGGAACAGAAACACTTCAAGGCTTTCAGGTCGTATAATTTTTCTTTGTAAGTTTACTATTGATTGCATGTTTCGAGTTCTATCTACTGGTAGAGCTTATTTCAAAGCCAACTTTATAATTGTTTTAGGGGAACTTGGGTGGTCTTTATTTGGTGAAAAAGGACGGAAAATGTTGGAATTATTTATGGTTCCAATTGGAATTTCAGTCGTAAGTCGAAAACGTTGTTCTTAAAATAATCGTGGGGGGGGTAATAATCGTGGACTACGTGGACTATTCTCACTAAAAATTTGTTTCGAGCAAATTAAGTAATATTAATTTTGTGTTTATTTGTTAGATTTATTCCTAGAAGTGATAAAAACGAATTGAAAAAAAAACGAAAATTAATTTACGCTCAAAATAGAGTTTATTCACAGGTCTCGTGGCCAACCTTTTAGGGCTTTTTCTGCGATTTCTATTTTCTTTTGGGTTTTTTGGTGCTTTTATATATGTCATAAAAGTTTAATTTCAGGTTAAACAGTGTTGGATGAGGAGGAAGTTATCTCGAAGCCCAAGTATCTTCTGGTAGCATTCGAACAGCTGGAATTGCTTCTTCGACATTGTCACCTTTGTGATCGGGCACCTGGTGGAAAAATTGCCGGAAAAGGGAGAAACATTCAGTGGACGGAAAACGGCACAAACTTTGCCGCCACTTTACCGCCGAAGATGCTCGTGCCAAAAGTATGATCGCATTCGTTGATCAACTCAGAAATGTATCGAGGGCACTGAGACTCGTACTGGAAATCTTGTTGTCACGGCTGCGGCACAAGTTGCCCTAATTGGATATCCAGATCTTACCTCGTTTTTTTCCTTTAGAACTCTTGCTCCATCAAAGTTGTCCAACAACAAATCAGATTTTCACAAGAAATCCAAAACACCTTTCGTTTATGGATCCGACTTCTCTACCTCGAGATATAAGCCACGGAAAGAGAAATTCAGAAAAAAGTTTAAATTTTCCTCCCTGGGCTCATATCTCGACGTAGAGAGGTCGGATCGATAAACGGAAGGTGCCATTCGATTCCTTAAAAAATTCTGTTTAAATAAAGTATAATTTTCAGGGCACGAAAGTCCTGGACAACATTGTCAAATCGAGCGTCAAAGTTGGCCACTCCAGTCAAGGTAATTGGTAGACCTTGACTGAATATCGTTAGGAATTACCCAAGTGGCCAACTTTGACGCCCGATTTGACGATGTTGTCCAGGACTTTCGTGCCCTGAAAATTATACTTTATTTAAACAGAATTTTTTAAGGAATCGAATGGTACCTACCGTTTATTGATTGAAGCCATTATTCCACGTCATCTCTGCTTCCTTCCGGCTTCATCCCAATTTCATCCCTTCATGATTGGATGGGATGAAGCTGGGAGGAAGTAGGGACGAATTGGAAGAATGCCTTCAATCGATAAACGGTAGGTACCTACCCTCTGGGCCTAATGGTCGACCTAGTGGGAGGGGGTGCCTATGGGATGGGGGGCCTTTGGGGGAGGGCACCTGACCTAGTGGGGGATCCTTCCCCCGGGGCCTAACGGTCAACCTAGGGGGAGGGAGTGCGGGGTGCGGGATGCCAAAGACCTCCCCGCACAGCCAGTTGGCCATTTCACGGGTCCTGTTCTGTGCGGTTTTGCGCTGAAAGAGCGCCGACACGGTGAAGACCAAAGTGGCTAGCACCCCCACACGTACCAGAGTTTTGCGCCAAATGGGCGACGACACAGTACAGTCCAAAATGAAGTGCCCCCTTCGGATACGTCCAGTGTTACCCGGATCGGAACAGATTGCCGGCGAGGAGGGGAAAAGGCCATTAATTATTAAACACTCATCGAATCACACAAAATAGACAACTGGATATGTCAACATGTCATTGGAACGATTCCCGCATACCTTAAAATCTCTAATAGACAGGCATGGCCGTCTATTTTTCAAACCCTCAAAATCGACCGCCCAAAAAAATAGATAAGGGTCCCCCGCGTAAATCAAAAATTTTAAAATTGTTAAAAACTATTTTAAACGATAGTTCTTCGGCCAAAACATAGAGAAAACACGTTTAAAAGTGAAAATGTTTACACACATGAATCCGCTTAAGAAGCTTTCAAAAAAAACCCGTGGTCCCCCACATGAATTTGTTTTCGAAAAATTATTTTTCAATTAAAAAAAATCATATTTCTAATTCCGTCCCGAATCTAATTCCACCTTCGTTTTCTTGGTTGCTCTTTGATCGATTGATCTGAAATTTTGTCTACAAGCAGTTAATGCCGAGTTTCACCTGTAGACAAGATTATCAGATCAATCGGTCAAAGAACGGCCAAAAAACGAAAGTGGAATTAGGTTTGGGACGGAATCTGCCCATGTCGTTCTAACACTACCAAAAAAGGTTTTGGATCAGATTTTTGTTGTTTACCATTTTCAACTCTATCAAATTTCTTTCAATTGCGTCCAATCTTCAACAATCAATCACTGTCAAAGCAAAAAAATCCATCAGTATATAGTCGCTGTCAAAACTTCCATATTTTTCCTAAATGTTGTGGTTTAACGTATTTTTAGCCTTGATCTTTTTCTTTACTTCGATTCAAGCTGTGTAAGTTTCTTGAAGTATTGGGTTGGTGAATTGAAAACTGCCGGCTATTGTCATATGTGACAGTTTGAGCACTTTCTTCAAAAGAAACCAATTTTGGTGTCAATGGAAAAGTTGTAGAGAATCAAAAATCAGGCTTATATTCCAATTTTCAGAACGATTCAAAAACTGGTTTTCAAGAAATGCCAAATTTACGAATTTTCACAAAACTTGCATTTTAAACAAAACTACTAAGCGTATCTTTTTGGAAATTTGGCTATAAGCCTAATTTTTGATTCTCTGCAACTTTTCCATTGACACCAAAATGGGTTTCTTTGGAAGAACAGGGACATCTCCAGTCCTCCATTTTTGAGTCTCACACTTGTCACACTGTCACACTGTCACACTCTCGCACACAAACCAAAATCCTACTATGAAAGAGGAACCCACAAATTGCCTGTAAAATGGGCAGAAGTCGTCAATAATAATGGAAATTCTTTGGAATGAATTGATGGTTTTATGTTGAATAAATTTTAGTTCAAAATCCGGCAGCTTTCAATTCACCAACCCAATAGAATTTAGATCAATTTTCGATAACACCATCCTTCTAATGAGGCGTTTTTGGTAAAATAGATGTTTAAAGACGATTGATTAAGCTAGAATCTTCACAAAAATTAAATCAAATTTTGCTAGGTTTATATACTTTTTAGAAATTACGGTAAACGAGAAAATCCTGCAAGAACGATTTTGAGAGCTCGGCGAGTGCCCATTCATCATCCCGGTTCCAGTGATCGGTTGGTGTTTTGGCAAATCTATTTTGACTAAAAGTTATCTTACTTATCCCATGATAACTCATTCAATTGTCATCTTTCACTTATCAATTAACTTTAGTGTGAAACGAGGCTGATTTGATTGGCATTATGTTCTTTGAATCTCTACAGTAACTTTTGAAATCTGTGTTTTGCAAAAACTTGTTTACAAATAAAGTTTGCAAATTTTTATCTAACAAATAGCGTAAAAATTCATTAGAATTTGTCAGCGACTGAATCGCAAATTCGATCAAATTCCTCAAAAAAAATTTGCTATTGAACTCAATTCTTGATAGTGGAAGAATCAGAAAAGCTTTCGAATTGGGCAATTTGGCTGAATTATTCACAAAATCGCATTGCAATCACATTTCAGTTCAAAAGTGATATTCTAAAAGATCTCTGCAAAGTGCAAGAAGTGCAAAGTTAGCTTCAAGTTTGTTTCACAATTCAAAACACAATTCTTTCACGATACTCCCACCAGCTACAGGGTGCGGCAAAAGTTCGGAGCCGCTTCTTAAGATAGTTAAAGGTTTAAAAACTAGCTTTAAAAAGTTAAAAATTAATAACAAATTCTTTATTCAAATCATAACAACAAATAACTTATAACAAATGCTTGAAATTTCCACCATCCGCTTCGATACACCTCTTTATACGCTTTGGGAAGTTCTTCACCATGGTGGCGCACGCTTAAACCGTTATTTCATCCCAGACTCGTTTCAGAGCAGATTTTAAAGCATCCACTGTTTGATACGTCTTCATCGAGATCTTGTCTTCCAAAATAGCCCAAACGGAATAATTGAGGGGATTAAGACCTGGCGAATTTGAAGGCCAAATGGTCTTATCCCAAAAGCCTGGAAACAACTGAGCGCAAACGTTGAGAGTTGAGTGAGCACGATGCGCCGGAGTCCAGTCCTGTTGCAGGGAAAAACCAGCTTGTCCAAAGTGATTTGTTGCCCAATGTTTCAAGACATATTTTAATACCAGTTGTTGGCAGTTTTTAGCATTCATCTTGACGTTTCTGTCCGAAAAAGTAGGCGATGTCTTGCTTGTAGCACACATACTTCCACACGCCATCATCGAAGCTGAAAAATGCTTTCTAACCATCAAATTTGCCGCAAATGTGTTCTTCAGATCTCTTTTGAGAAGTTATCTATGATTTTGGCGGTTGTGCAATGACTGGATAAAAAAATCTTTTCATCTGTGAAGAGGATCCTCCCAAGTAGGCCAGTCACCACCAAGCGCACCATCTTCTTTGCTAGACGCTTTCGTTTCTTCTGGGATTTGTCGCTCAAGACGTGTGCTTTGGCCAATTTGTAGCTAAAGAATCTTAGTTTCCCTTTAACAATCCTTCTAACGCTTCGAGGGCTAATTTTCAGCTGTTTGCCCATCTTTCGCATCGACCGCAGCGTGTTTTGGCGAATCCGAAAGCGAATTTCGTTGATGTTCGTAGCTGTTACGGCAGTCGATGGTCGACCACTTCGAGGGCGATCCTTGTTGTTCTTTATCTCCTTGTATCGTTTAATTGCTTTGTTGACGGTGTTTTTTGGATATTTAGTGATTTTTACAATCTCCGGGCTATTTTTTCCGCCTTGGTATAATTCGAGAATCGCATCGCGTCGTTTTTTGGCGTTCATTCTTACGAATTTTCTCCTAAAAAGAAAATTTTTGTAACAGATCACCTTAACTATACTCGAAAAAAGGAAAAAAAGTATACGAGACACAAAAAAAGGCGTGAGCTAAATTTTCTGCAATGTTTTCATAGCGGCTCCGAACTTTTGCCGCACCCTGTATACTCGAAAAAAGGAAAAAAAGTATACGAGACACAAAAAAAGGCGTGAGCTAAATTTTCTGCAATGTTTTCATAGCGGCTCCGAACTTTTGCCGCACCCTGTATACTCGAAAAAAGGAAAAAAAGTATACGAGACACAAAAAAAGGCGTGAGCTAAATTTTCTGCAATGTTTTCATAGCGGCTCCGAACTTTTGCCGCACCCTGTATACTCGAAAAAAGGAAAAAAAGTATACGAGACACAAAAAAAGGCGTGAGCTAAATTTTCTGCAATGTTTTCATAGCGGCTCCGAACTTTTGCCGCACCCTGTATACTCGAAAAAAGGAAAAAAAGTATACGAGACACAAAAAAAGGCGTGAGCTAAATTTTCTGCAATGTTTTCATAGCGGCTCCGAACTTTTGCCGCACCCTGTATAGATCTAAAACAGAAATCTCATCTTCATTTGTATTCGAAATGTGATTGAGAATGAAAAGAGAACAATACGATTGAACATTTCAAACTTTCATTCAAGTGAAAGTACAGGCTGACCAAGAATTACCGCAACAACCTTTTGGAAAAGTATCTGGAAAATGTCTAATTCATTTCAAAAGGCTTAAGTGTTATATAGAGATTTGTAGCCCTAATTCTCGGCAACGTTTATCTACCAAAAACTCCCCGATTGGACTTATACAACTCATTTAACAAGCGCTTGAATGAGCGCTAGTCGACATCTCTCCGGCGAATCTGTCAGTGGGCCACTTTTCTCTATTAAAAATTGTTAAGAAAAGCTTTTCAATATTTCTTCAATGCAAAAATAGCGTTTAACAGCACGTAACTGTTTTGGCTGAACTGGCATAACCAAAATTTAAGTTGATGTCAAGCTCCTTTTGGAGGAGCAGGGAAAATTGAGTATTTTCGATATTCTGTTCATATGCGTATCTCGTTATATCAGCTGTTCTGGCGCTATGAATTTGTTGAAAACAATTTTTTTTTGGACAAAATTGCCACAAATTTCTCCTGCAGAATCCAGTTCATTATCACAAAAACGCAGGTTTCGAAGAATAGATTCAAATTTTGCTCTTGACATAATGTGGGACATGTGGGGAAATCCTCCTAATCCAGGCCTGCTACTCCAGTAGTCACGAATTCTCGGTATTTTGACGATTCCCATTTGAAGCCAGGAAAAGCTTGAAAGATTTTGCATCGAAATCCTGCCAGTTTGTTATCCTTTTTCCATGTTTATTAGATTCACCTACTAAAATATTGTCGTCGATAAAATAAGAACAATAATCGATAGGATCTTGAAAAGTACTGAAGTCAAATCTTGAACTTTATGTAGTTGTGCAACAGGTTTTTAAATTTTTAAAAAACCAAAAGTACCGACGCTTGTGGGAGTCGAACCCGAATCGTGTGGGCTAGAGACAAGTGCGCTCGCACTGTATCATCGGGTAGTCGAGCGGTTACCGCGCGCGTCTCCCAAACGAATGGAAGAGAGAGGTCCCGGGTTCACCTCCTCTTGCCGCCAATTCTTTTACTTTTTGCTCCAAAGATTTTTTTTGCTGGAAAGCACGAGTGAAGCTTCTGGTACAAATCTAAACAACCAACAAACCAGTGACGCAAGTTGAATATTTTGATATAGTTTTGATGCGGGAGAATTGTTCTGCGACATAACAAGGAGAACGAAAACGAACAAAATTGTCGACAATAGGATGAAGCTTTTATAAAAGACTTGAATCCTATAAAGCTCGTCGTCAGTCGGACAAAACATTTTGAGCAAAATATGACATTTTGAGCATTTTTCTAATTAGAACTGACTTCAAAAGCACCTGTTTTTCTAGAAAAGGATTAGCTTGAAGCTTGAAGGCCAAAAAGCTGATTTACAAACTTTTGATTTTGACTTTTGATTTTGATTCGCTTAAGTGTATTATGTCAAAATCTTGTGTTTATCTTTTAATTAAGTGTATTATGTGAAAATACTTTATTCATCAACCCAATCAATTTGAGCTTGATCCAAGAAATAGGACTCAACCGAGCAAAGATTTTGACCAGCCCATATCTGAAAGATTTCACCACATCAACCCTATTTTCAGCTGCCAACCGGTGCTGGTTGAATAAATAACTTAATTACACGATTCTTTTTCTTCTTTATCTTGAATACTTACTCTAATATATCCGTCTTCACCCCAATTCGTTCCCCACGAGTTCCGCACGATCCAATACGGCCACCCGTCCTCTTCTCCTGTCAATAACGATTCAAGGATTCAAGAAAATTTTAATCCATCTCTATGTCTTGCATTTCTTTCTCTTTCTTTCTCTCTTTCCTTCTCTTACCTGTCTTTCCTATTCTTAAGAAAGACCTATCCTTGTCTTTCCTATTCCTTGTTGGGCAAAGAAGGCAATAGCTCAGTGATAGAACCTAGCAGAAGATAAGCAGAAGGTCAAGGGTTCAATACCATTGCCATTCATTTCTTTACTTTAATCTGTTCAAGATATTTTCCTTAATACCGTATCCAGTGATGACCATCGCATGTCCTCCGAGAGGTCCAAGACCTTCACAAGTTTGATCAAATATTCCTCCATCATAGTACATGAAATCCCAATTCATATAGATACCTGGAAACTTGAAACGATTGTTGTTTGCAGTGAAATTTTTTGGCTGTTAGTGTCTGGCTGATACTCACCAACAGCCACCGGTCCATCATCAACGATTGCTCTCTTTAAGGTGTCCATGTCAAAGGGTAGAAGACTCGTCACCGAAGTCACTCTCACTTTTGGTTTAAACTAAAAACAATTAGATTACGGTAGCAAAGAAATACAGTTCAATACCGAATTCTTCTTTTAGAAATACAGTTCAATACAGAGTTTCTTTTAGTTCAGTTCAGTTACAGTTCATAATTCATCTAATCTCACCGAGTAGCAAGTAAGATCTCCTTTCGGATTGTAGGGCCAAGCCTCTTCAAAACCGACTCCCTTGCTTTTGTAGTAACTGCAAAGGTTTTGTTAGATTATTCAAAAATGGCTTGGTAGATTTCTTGATAGATTCTATCAAATAATAGCAAAAGTTGAACCCACTTAAAAGCAACACTTGGAAAGCCACCCTTGCAGATTGTTTTCTTATTTGGGTAGACACAGGACATCTCCTGCTCGGACAAGTCGATGAAATCGTATGTTGGCCATTTTCGAGAATACTGAATCTCGAGACAAGCCGCCGTGCTAAACCGGAGGGATTTCAAAAGTTGTGAGAGATCTTGGAACTCACGCAAAAGCCCAGCAACTACCACAGTCTCCTTGATTTCTGACAGGCGGCACCAACTCTTTGTCTCGCCAATCGAATGAGTCGGGCAAGTCACTGCTCTGAAATTTTCCTAATAAAGAAGTGAAGGAATTCTTTAGAAAAGTAGAAAAGTAGAATCCATAGAGCCTCGATTCCGGAGAGCGTTGAACCCTCAATCTTTTGCTTTCCAGGCAATTGCTCTAACCACTGACTAGACAAGTGCAATAGGTCAGGATGGCCTTCTGTAATGAGACCTAGCTCACTTCTTACGACTTCTTACGCAGGTTGTCATGGAGATTACAAATCTGCTTTCAAAATCGGCAAAACAGCTTTCTGGTAAAAGTTATGAGCTAAAAGTTTCAGACTGCCTCTATAAAGTTCCTTTCACTCTGCAAAACAAGTGTGCTGGTGGGTAAGAGCCTTGTATCAAAAACGGTTTTGCGCTACGCTACGATACGCTTTTTACAGTTACAGTCAATACAGAAATGCTGCAGCCATATGGGTAAAGATGATGTGCCAGATGGTTCACGATTTTGTAAAAAGAGAACAGAAGAAACAAGAAAGAAAGCACACAGAGAGCAGAAGAAAACAAATGTTTTTTTGCAAGAGGGATCAAACCCGAGCAAAAAGCGTATAGCCTGTCTTTGATACAAGGTTTTTATCCATCACGCCACCAGAACACTTGTTTAGAGAGTGAAAGGGACTTTATAGAGGCAGCCCGAGACTTAAAATGCTCATAACTTTTGCCAGAAAGCTATTTTGCCGATTTTGAAAGCAGATTCGAATCTCCACATGAAAAAGTACGTAAGATGAGCTAGATCTCATTACAGAAGGCCAGTTTGACCTATTGCATTTTCCTAGCAAGCTATCCGGTACCTTAACCTGCTAGGGGGAAGAGGGAAAGACAAGGGAGAAGAAGAAAGAAAGAAAGACGAAGAAAGAAAGAAAGAACGAAAGAAAGAAAGAAGTTTAAAATAAAGCAAAGTCTTTTGTTTTAGAAGTGAACTGACTTAAAGCTTTTAAAAAATAAAAAGTATCCCATAAAGTAAAATTTTTTTTAAACAAACAACAAAATTCTAAGCTTTAAAGTCATTTTTCAGTATTCAAACCTTCCATTTGGCACTTTTAATATCGATTTTTTGAATCCTGGCCTATCGAATGATACCAACTTCGTCCCAGATGACCAGGTAAATTAATAAAAAGAAGTTCAGGGTAAGCTCAAGATAAGTTCAAATTTAAAACCATAATCGACCTCTTTTTCCTCTTCATCGTCTCTCCGTTTTCTCTTCAATTTCTCATTCCTCTTTTCCATATTCTTCTTTGCAACTATTGCACTTGCAGTCGCGTTTCTCTTCGTTCTCGATTTCCTCTCATTGAATGGAATAAATAACTGAAATTTGAAATCTTTTAATAGACGAATTAAGTTTAGTTTTTGAACTATACTTGACAAGGAACTTTTAAACAAACCCCAGCAGTCTCATCCTCATCCAAATCCATATATGGATGCATTCCAACTTTAAACTTTAGGCCACCCTTGGCCGATAATTCCTTTAAATAAGCATTATTTGAGACGAAATTCTTAGCCACTGCATCACTTTTTGTTCTTAGAATCTTTTTCGCGAATCTAAATTTTGAAAAAATTGGAGCTTTCAATTTCCCAAACGTTTTCCCGAATGTAAGGAAATCATTCTTGTGTGTGCCGAGAATTTCGACGACACTCGCTGGGAGATTCTTAAAGTCCATGTAGGTAATCTGAAACACGAAAAAAGTCATTGAAATAGTAATAATTAGAAGTGAAAATCATAAAAATAGGAATAAAAGATTTGTTAAAGTTTCAAAAAAGCCAGCCTGAGTCGTGACGTCCTTTGTGGTCTCCGTATCGATCTCGATCTTTATATGCGATTTCGAATTTGTGTGAACATGTTGCAAGATGTTCAGCAATTGTCCAGAAACACTGGCTTGCGGTTTTGGCTCAGCATTCGTGCCCAAAATCAAAAGCAACAAGATCAGCATCGAAATTTATTGTAAAAGATCAGCTACTGATTTTGTTTGATCAACTTTTGTACACCCATTGACCTTGAATCAGAGACAAACTATGAGAGATCGATCACATTTTCGAATTTGCCGAGTTTTTTTAGCAAAATGATATGCTGTTGGCTAAAATTGACGAGATTTCTCAATTTTCTCAAGTGTGAGAAAGAGGAAGACTTGTTTGGTGAAAATGACCTACAAAACCTGTAAAAAGACTAATTGATGTTTTTATTTTGAAACGAACAGCATAACTAACACTACTAACAAAAAATGAAGTGTTCTTATTAGAAATTGATAGCATATTGTTTTACGAATAAATGTGAACTGTTTAGATCAAAATAAAGATCAAAATGAACAAATGAAGATCTTGTCCTCTCACAAAAAGGAACAGTGCACATCCGCGCGAAATAAGGCAAAAAATCGTTTTCTATAGGATTTTTACGTTTGAATAGCCGATTGACGCAGAAAAATGTGCTGAATCCGAAAATCAAAGAATTTTTGAAATCCCTTCGACAAATTTTTTAAAAATCGAGTTTTAGTGATTTTACTGTGTTAAATTTCAGCCATATTTTCTTGTCGGAGCAAAATTTTGGAAACAAAAGCCTAAAACAAAAATGTAAACCGCAAGTTTTATTCTACGGGTTTTTCTCTATCTTTTGATACCAAAAGCATAAATATTGATAAACCCTATAAAAAGTTATAACCTTTTGAAAAAAAAAATGTGGTTTCTGGATTATGGCACACTATAACGCGAATAGATTACCGGAACCCGAAAGAGAAAAAAAGCAAAATTAAACTTTTTTTTGCTACAATCAAACCATTTTCGCTATTTTTCTTCTTTTCAAGTTCATGTGTCGATCTCTGCGGATTTAAGTTAAGTTGTTGTTTTATGAACAGATGCTTTGCTTTTGAATTTTTCAGGCCTCGACAGGAATTAATCCAAGAAAGGAATGAGCGCAAAGTTTGCAACGGTATATGTTAAACGTTTTGAAATAACCTTTAACCCATTCGAAACTTCTGCAGCGAATAATCGCTGCAACAAAAACTCAGGAACGGACCGCTGCAGCGATTATTCGCTGCAGCTCTAATTGAGCTATTTTCATTCAATTAATTGCTTTTTTTTGCTGCTTTTCAGCATTACATGTATATTCCAATTGTAGCAGATCTACAAATTACGTGGACGTGGATTACGTGTGAAAAAAAGTTTAATTTTGCTTTTTTTCTCTTTCGGGTTCCGGTAATCTATTCGCGTTATAGTGTGCCATAATCCAGAAACCACATTTTTTTTTTTCAAAAGGTTATAACTTTTTATAGGGTTTATCAATATTTATGCTTTTGGTATCAAAAGATAGGAGAAAAACCCGTAGAATAAAACTTGCGGTTTACATTTTTGTTTTAGGCTTTTGTTTCCAAAATTTTGCTCCGACAAGAAAATATGGCTGAAATTTAACACAGTAAAATCACTAAAACTCGATTTTTAAAAAATTTGTCGAAGGGATTTCAAAAATTCTTTGATTTTCGGATTCAGCACATTTTTCTGCGTCAATCGGCTATTCAAACGTAAAAATCCTATAGAAAACGATTTTTTGCCTTATTTCGCGCGGATGTGCACTGTTCCTTTTTGTGAGAGGACAAGATCTTCATTTGTTCATTTTGATCTTTATTTTGATCTAAACAGTTCACATTTATTCGTAAAACAATATGCTATCAATTTCTAATAAGAACACTTCATTTTTTGTTAGTAGTGTTAGTTATGCTGTTCGTTTCAAAATAAAAACATCAATTAGTCTTTTTACAGGTTTTGTAGGTCATTTTCACCAAACAAGTCTTCCTCTTTCTCACACTTGAGAAAATTGAGAAAATCTCGTCAATTTTAGCCAACAGCATATCATTTTGCTAAAAAAACTCGGCAAATTCGAAAATGTGATCGATCTCTCATAGTTTGTCTCTGATTCAAGGTCAATGGGTGTACAAAAGTTGATCAAACAAAATCAGTAGCTGATCTTTTACAATAAATTTCGATGCTGATCTTGTTGCTTTTGATTTTGGGCACGAATGCTGAGCCAAAACCGCAAGCCAGTGTTTCTGGACAATTGCTGAACATCTTGCAACATGTTCACACAAATTCGAAATCGCATATAAAGATCGAGATCGATACGGAGACCACAAAGGACGTCACGACTCAGGCTGGCTTTTTTGAAACTTTAACAAATCTTTTATTCCTATTTTTATGATTTTCACTTCTAATTATTACTATTTCAATGACTTTTTTCGTGTTTCAGATTACCTACATGGACTTTAAGAATCTCCCAGCGAGTGTCGTCGAAATTCTCGGCACACACAAGAATGATTTCCTTACATTCGGGAAAACGTTTGGGAAATTGAAAGCTCCAATTTTTTCAAAATTTAGATTCGCGAAAAAGATTCTAAGAACAAAAAGTGATGCAGTGGCTAAGAATTTCGTCTCAAATAATGCTTATTTAAAGGAATTATCGGCCAAGGGTGGCCTAAAGTTTAAAGTTGGAATGCATCCATATATGGATTTGGATGAGGATGAGACTGCTGGGGTTTGTTTAAAAGTTCCTTGTCAAGTATAGTTCAAAAACTAAACTTAATTCGTCTATTAAAAGATTTCAAATTTCAGTTATTTATTCCATTCAATGAGAGGAAATCGAGAACGAAGAGAAACGCGACTGCAAGTGCAATAGTTGCAAAGAAGAATATGGAAAAGAGGAATGAGAAATTGAAGAGAAAACGGAGAGACGATGAAGAGGGAAAAAGAGGTCGATTATGGTTTTAAATTTGAACTTATCTTGAGCTTACCCTGAACTTCTTTTTATTAATTTACCTGGTCATCTGGGACGAAGTTGGTATCATTCGATAGGCCAGGGATTCAAAAAATCGATATTAAAAGTGCCAAATGGAAGGTTTGAATACTGAAAAATGACTTTAAAGCTTAGAATTTTGTTGTTTGTTTAAAAAAAATTTTACTTTATGGGATACTTTTTATTTTTTAAAAGCTTTAAGTCAGTTCACTTCTAAAACAAAAGACTTTGCTTTATTTTAAACTTCTTTCTTTCTTTCGTTCTTTCTTTCTTTCTTCGTCTTTCTTTCTTTCTTCTTCTCCCTTGTCTTTCCCTCTTCCCCCCTAGCAGGTTAAGGTACCGGATAGCTTGCTAGGAAAATGCAATAGGTCAAACTGGCCTTCTGTAATGAGATCTAGCTCATCTTACGTACTTTTTCATGTGGAGATTCGAATCTGCTTTCAAAATCGGCAAAATAGCTTTCTGGCAAAAGTTATGAGCATTTTAAGTCTCGGGCTGCCTCTATAAAGTCCCTTTCACTCTCTAAACAAGTGTTCTGGTGGCGTGATGGATAAAAACCTTGTATCAAAGACAGGCTATACGCTTTTTGCTCGGGTTTGATCCCTCTTGCAAAAAAACATTTGTTTTCTTCTGCTCTCTGTGTGCTTTCTTTCTTGTTTCTTCTGTTCTCTTTTTACAAAATCGTGAATCATCTGGCACATCATCTTTACCCATATGGCTGCAGAAAGAGCATTACTGTACCGACTGTAACTGTAAAAAGCGTATCGTAGCGTAGCGCAAAAACCGTCTTTGATACAAGGCTCTTACCCACCAGCACACTTGTTTTGCAGAGTGAAAGGAACTTTATAGAGGCAGTCTGAAACTTTTAGCTCATAACTTTTACCAGAAAGCTGTTTTGCCGATTTTGAAAGCAGATTTGTAATCTCCATGACAACCTGCGTAAGAAGTCGTAAGAAGTGAGCTAGGTCTCATTACAGAAGGCCATCCTGACCTATTGCACTTGTCTAGTCAGTGGTTAGAGCAATTGCCTGGAAAGCAAAAGATTGAGGGTTCAACGCTCTCCGGAATCGAGGCTCTATGGATTCTACTTTTCTACTTTTCTAAAGAATTCCTTCACTTCTTTATTAGGAAAATTTCAGAGCAGTGACTTGCCCGACTCATTCGATTGGCGAGACAAAGAGTTGGTGCCGCCTGTCAGAAATCAAGGAGACTGTGGTAGTTGCTGGGCTTTTGCGTGAGTTCCAAGATCTCTCACAACTTTTGAAATCCCTCCGGTTTAGCACGGCGGCTTGTCTCGAGATTCAGTATTCTCGAAAATGGCCAACATACGATTTCATCGACTTGTCCGAGCAGGAGATGTCCTGTGTCTACCCAAATAAGAAAACAATCTGCAAGGGTGGCTTTCCAAGTGTTGCTTTTAAGTGGGTTCAACTTTTGCTATTATTTGATAGAATCTATCAAGAAATCTACCAAGCCATTTTTGAATAATCTAACAAAACCTTTGCAGTTACTACAAAAGCAAGGGAGTCGGTTTTGAAGAGGCTTGGCCCTACAATCCGAAAGGAGATCTTACTTGCTACTCGGTGAGATTAGATGAATTATGAACTGTAACTGAACTGAACTAAAAGAAACTCTGTATTGAACTGTATTTCTAAAAGAAGAATGCTACCGTAATCTAATTGTTTTTAGTTTAAACCAAAAGTGAGAGTGACTTCGGTGACGAGTCTTCTACCCTTTGACATGGACACCTTAAAGAGAGCAATCGTTGATGATGGACCGGTGGCTGTTGGTGAGTATCAGCCAGACACTAACAGCCAGAAAACTTCACTGCAAACAACAATCCTTTCAAGTTTCCAGCTATCTATTTGAATTGGGATTTCATGTACTATGATGGAGGAATATTTGATCAAACTTGTGAAGGTCTTGGACCTCTCGGAGGACATGCGATGGTCATCACTGGATACGGTATTAAGGAAAATATCTTGAACAGATTAAAGTAAAGAAATGAATGGCAATGGTATTGAACCCTTGACCTTCTGCTTATCTTCTGCTAGGTTCTATCACTGAGCTATTGCCTTCTTTGCCCAACAAGGAATAAGACAAGGATAGGTCTTTCTTAAGAATAGGAAAGACAGGTAAGAGAAGGAAAGAGAGAAAGAAAGAGAAAGAAATGCAAGACATAGAGATGGATTAAAATTTTCTTGAATCCTTGAATCGTTATTGACAGGAGAAGAGGACGGGTGGCCGTATTGGATCGTGCGGAACCGTGGGGAACGAATTGGGGTGAAGACGGATATATTAGAGTAAGTATTCAAGATAAAGAAGAAAAAGAATCGTGTAATTAAGTTATTTATTCAACCAGCACCGGTTGGCAGCTGAAAATAGGGTTGATGTGGTGAAATCTTTCAGATATGGGCTGGTCAAAATCTTGCTCGGTTGAGTCCAATTTCTTGGATCAAGCTCAAATTGATTGGGTTGATGAATAAAAGTATTTTCACATAATACACTTAATTAAAAGATAAACACAAGATTTGACATAATACACTTAAGCGAATCAAAATCAAAAGTCAAAATCAAAAGTTTGTAAATCAGCTTTTGGCCTTCAAGCTTCAAGCTAATCCTTTTCTAGAAAAACAGGTGCTTTTGAAGTCAGTTCTAATTAGAAAAATGCTCAAAATGTCATATTTTGCTCAAAATGTTTTGTCCGACTGACGACGAGCTTTATAGGATTCAAGTCTTTTATAAAAGCTTCATCCTATTGTCGACAATTTTGTTCGTTTTCGTTCTCCTTGTTATGTCGCAGAACAATTCTCCCGCATCAAAACTATATCAAAATATTCAACTTGCGTCACTGGTTTGTTGGTTGTTTAGATTTGTACCAGAAGCTTCACTCGTGCTTTCCAGCAAAAAAAATCTTTGGAGCAAAAAGTAAAAGAATTGGCGGCAAGAGGAGGTGAACCCGGGACCTCTCTCTTCCATTCGTTTGGGAGACGCGCGCGGTAACCGCTCGACTACCCGATGATACAGTGCGAGCGCACTTGTCTCTAGCCCACACGATTCGGGTTCGACTCCCACAAGCGTCGGTACTTTTGGTTTTTTAAAAATTTAAAAACCTGTTGCACAACTACATAAAGTTCTAAGCCAAACTAATTATAAATCATTTGAAATGGTCCTCTGGGGGCTGAGGAGTAGCGCGCACAGTCAGACAAACAAACAGACAGACAGACAGATAGACAGACAGACATACAGACAGACAAACAAACAGACAGACAAACAGACAGACAGACAGACAGACGTCTCAGTCCCTCTATATATAATAGATTGTTTTGTATCCAAAATGCTGAAGCTATTCTAAATTTTATTGAGTTTTACTGAATTTGTGAGACTTTGGGTATCATAAGTTTGCGAGTTGACGATAAATTGACCAAGTCAAGACTTGTAAACTTTCCCTGGGGCTCCTAAAGCTTTCGATAAAAATTTACAAGTGAATCCTGGTGAACTGTCAATCAGTGATCAGTCAATCGAAGTCTTTTCTGTTTCAGATTGCAGCACAACTCTCCGATTTTTGTATGTTTTTCATGCAACAAGTCTTCATTTTACCATATGGTGGATGCATTTTCGGGAGACCGTTTGATTTATCGCTTGATATCGTTGCTTTTATTGTGGTAAGAGCAGAAGATTGGAGAGTTTTGCTATTCTGAGATATTGTCATAATACTCTAATAGAAGTCCCTATAAGAACGTCGAGTAGTCTAAGTTTACTTTCAAACAAACGCTCATATCGCGACCCCAGTACATTTTTTTCTACGCTTTAAGTGTCAAATGAATGTAGAAAGGATGGGTGATTTTTTGAGATATAACACGTACTTTAAGCATTAATCAGCGCTTAGAAAAAAAGGATTGAAAAGTGGCACTATCGCTTTGGCTATTACCAGAAACAGGTCATTTTAGACCTTTAAACTTAAAAGTCACCCAAATCCCCAATAATCAATCGAATTCAAAATCTTTTTGCACTATTTTGTAGAGGAGATTCAGAGCTTTCTAATAGTATATAATACTTTTTGGCTGAGGCTTGCAATCCTTTTGTTTTCAAAAAATAAGTGAGCGTTGGTTTCATTCCCATCACCCTAATACAATAAGATCTAATGTTTGCAGCCTTTCTATTATCTCTTCAATCTTTGCGGTGTTTGGTCAATCTTTGCTTCACTTCTCTATAAACTCTATGTTCTTGGTTACTCGAATAAAAACCAAAACTTCTTTGTATTCCTTTGTGTGGTCGCTGGATTGTGCAATAGTGCAATCGAAGTTTTGATCTTTTTTATGGAATCTGAGCATCAAACAACTACAACTGCTGCACTGGCGTCAACTTATGGATTTAATGAGAGTACTAGAGTACTGGATTTGCTAAAAATATTGTAATTCAATTTAGCTATTTATCCTGAATGCTTTCTTCAATCAAAAACAATAACTTTCTATCGAAATCTCGATGCAGCGAGTTACAATATTCCAACCGGGATTTTGGTTGTTTATCCAAGTGAACGTAAAAGAATTTACTTTAGGTTCTCATCAATTTTATCGAGCTTCTTTACATTACTTTGTTAGTAAAGAAAGAAACAATACTCACAAAGAGAACAGCAAGCAAAAAGACAAGAGAAATGTTGGACTATCTGCAACTAGTTTATAATTTACAGGTGAGAATAAAAGAGATTAGATTAAAAGAATGAACTAGCTTGAAATAAAGGTCCGGTTCCAGAAACTGGTACAAAATCAGCAAAATCAGTAAAAACCTCTAGATTCTCGCCTTTTTCCTCACCGATGGCCTATCGCTGACTACTTTTATATTAAGTATTACGAGGGTTTACTCAATTGAGAATATAGGTTTGTAGCTTCACTTTATTCAATAAAAATTCACTCAGTAACCGCCTCTTTTGGATTGGGAATGATTCTTTATTCTCCGTTTAACTCTCTAATTCTCATTTTTGCAACGAAAACCTATCGACAATATGTCTTTCAGTTCATTGTTGCGATGAAAAGTAAGCATTGGGAAAAGATTGATTGAATTTATTTTATTGTTTTTATTGAATAATTTCTAGCAACAACCACAAGGACAACAAGAATCAGTGTGGTTAGCAGATGAGAGAAAATTCTTATTTGATAAATTCATTTACAAACATCCTCAAATGTTCAACGTTTTAAGGATCTTATTGTGCATATTTTTTCAAGATTTTGGCCATAATTTTGAGCTTAAAAGTAGGTATTAGGTCGAGTTTAGTACTTCTAAAGTCTCAGTCAGTCTTAGTCTTTCACCCAAATTCATTTTCTAATTGAATAAGTCTACCAAATAAGATACGGTTTTTTTCGTTAAATATAGCTCAATCATTTTCCTTACAAATGACTTTTGAAAGTTTCTGAAAAGCTTTGTTTTAATGTTACACCAACGCCGGCCTTATCATCGATTTCGTGGAATGCTTTAAAATTGTTAAAGGCATTCATCCCGACCCCATTTTTTCTGGTCTCTTTGAATTCGGCTCTCTACGGGGCGCCTCCAGAAGAGGGTCTTTTCTCATACGCCAACCTTCCATTTCCTCTAAAAGCCCCCACAGTTTCTTTTTTAACCGAGTTATTAAATCCTGGAACATTTTACCCCCACATGTTCGTGATATTCCCACCTTGGCTAGATTTAAAGCCGCAATTTCGGCAATTGATTTAACTGCTCTGTGATTTTTTCTTGAGGTATCTATTTATCTTTTGGGTGTGTTTTGAGTGGTATCCCGGGTAATTATTGTGATTTTGTTTTGTCGCTATTCAACTGAAGCATATATATAAAGCATTTCATTAGCAAGAAGCCGAGTGCTCAGAAGGTCCAATGATGTGATTTCGACCGTTTCTACCAATGAAACCTATTTTGATGACAAAATAAAAAAGATAGCGCACAAAAAGTTAAGTCTCCAACCAAAATCTATCTACTATATCTATAATTGAGGGTTGTATGTCCGTTCGTCTGTCCATCTGTGCGCAGCCATTGGCAAAAAAGGCGTGGTTTAGCTCTCGGCGCGCGCGGGAAAAAAAGGCGGAACTTAGTAAATTAGCTTTTTCTGTTATTATTTCAATTTTAAATTTTCAATTCTTACCGCTACCTTGCGCGTAGCATTGCATTTATTAATCCGCTGCTACTAAATTTATATTTTTTACTAAAAAATAAACTTCCTTTTATCAATTGTTTTTTAGAAAATTATAAAAATAAAATGTGTTCCTCTCAAAAAATAGTGTACATAAGAAACGGGCTACGGTAGAAATCAACTAAATATCTTGAATCTACTATAAACAAACAAATAAAACGATCGTCAAACATAAATAGGCAACATTTTAAAAAATATTTATAAAACCAAAAGTACCGACGCTGGCGGAAGTCGAATTCGGGTCGTGTGGGCTAGAAATAAGTGCGCTGGCACTGCGCCATCTACTAGAGCATGACCGAGTGGCTAAGGCGCACGTCTCTCAAACGAACGGAAGAGAGAGGTCGCGGGTTCGTCTCCTCTTGCCGCCGGGGTTCAATTGATAGCTTGTATTATGTTTTTGATCTTATTCCCGCTCTGGTCTTACATTTTAAGCTTTACAGCTGTTATTAAAGTCTATTTAAGATTTTAGCCTCTTTGTTTACCACTTTCAATCACTGCCAATTCCTTTGCATCAAACCTAATTGAGTTTCGATCATTTGCCAATTTCCGTATGTTAAATAAAGATTTGAATAGTTTAAAAAATATATATTGAGTTTAAAGACTGACAAGTAAGCATTTTGCCGTTTAGATTCTCACTTGTGCGCCAGAAGGCGGGCGTTTACGAAATGATCTCCTCGTCAGGCATACGGTAGGGGAAAATTCAAAAGCGTAAGTCACTTCTAAAACAAAAATTCTCAAATAAACTTGGGATAAAATCTTTATTCATACACAATCAACCAAAAAGTAGTAAATCCACAACTAGAAGACCCGTCGGGGTGATAGAATAAAAAGAACAGGAATCAAAACAAAAAGACTACTACTGATTTGAAAAATCAACTGAAACCAAAGCTTTTGCAAGATTTGGATTCTATTTAAAGTTCAGTGTGTTCGTTTTTGTCTTCCTCCTCTTCTCTCGTCTCTTCCTCTTTCTCAACACCTTCATTTTTGATTTGGAACTCGTCAAGGAACTCTGTGAGTCCTTCAAGTGTTCGTTCTCCAGTGTAATCAATTGCTTTTTTTGAACCAGCTGGGAAGAATTTGATGGTAGGGAAGCCTTGGATTTTGACATCTTCAACCTGAAGCTGATGATTTAAAAGTGTCATAGTTGAAGTTAAAAGTATTTCTTCACAAAGTACCCTTCACAAAATCCCACCTCATTAGCTGTGCTGTCCATCTTGGCGATGACGATTTTCTTGTGATTTGCGTACTTCTCTCCAAGCTTATCCCAGATTGGAGCCAATTGCTCGCAATGTCCACACCATGGAGCGTAGAACTCGACGAAGTAGTGCTTTTTCTTGTTCTCGACAACTTGCTTGAAGTTTTTGCCGACAAGAACCTAAAACAATGGTGAGTAAGCTTGTCCTGGAGTTTTCGATCTAGCTACAGTATAGCTTTTGAGCTTTTTTATCTAGCTATAGATCAAAATTAAGTTAAATATTTTAGATCTAAGTTTTTACCTTAACAGGAGCCTTGTCCCAATCTTCAGGAATCTCCTCTGACATCAAATGAGGCTTCAGCGATCCGTCCAAGTATGATTTAGTGAATTCGGCAATGTTCTCGGTGGAGAGCTCTTCAAAATCAGGTTTGAACTTGATCATGTCCTCTTTTAGAGAAATGATTCGAATAGTTGGCAGATCGTCGTTCACAATTCCAAAGAATTCCATGACTTTAGCGTTCTCTTTCACATCCGTGTCAACGTAAACGAAGAGAACCTGGAACAAGCGGATAAATGAAGTGATGAACTGAGATTAGACTGATGACTGAAACTTTCTAACTAGTGGGAGAACTACCGTAACCCTGTTGGCTTAAACCAGCTGGAGTTTGGCTATAGTACCCTTCGCACTATCAGCTATCCTTTGGATAATGAAATTGTTTATTATCCAAAGAGATTACGATAGCTTTTTCATTGATTAGTAAACGGTAACTAATGGCAATGATATAACCCTTCCCTTAGCCAAAATGATCAAACCTTGCCCTTGAATTCCTTGGCTGCCGTTTTGAATTGCTCAAAAATCTCCTCGAACTTCGATGATTTCTTCGAGATGAAGAGCAAGTTATGTGACTTGATCTCTCCACCGAAAAGCGATGAACGAGCTTTTTGAGTGTACTCAGCGACAAGTGGCAGACGGTTGGCTTGAATCCAGGCTTTTAGCGTGTCTGCTTTGAGCTAAAGCTTAAAACATTAAAATCTTTTGCGATCCATTTACCTCTTCATCAAAGAATGTCTTGTCATTGTCATTCTTCTTCAACAAGAAGATTCCCTCACCCTCTAACTCAAGCTCTTTTTTGAGGGACTCGTCACTCAACACTCCGAACTTCACATCCTCAATTTCGGCGGCAACATCGAGGAATGACTTTGCTTTATCGCTGTCAGCATTCTGGAATCAAAAACTTAACAAATTATTTGAATATTCTTGCAGATCTTTAAAAAATTTACCTCAAAGTACCCAATAATCGTGACATCAGCAGATTTTGAGAACTCTTTGAGCTCGTCAGCGCTATTGAGAAGTTTTGCAATGGGTTGAGCCTTCTGTTTGAGCCATTCAATGATCGAAGCGGAGTCTCGTCTTCCCGCGTATTCGAGGGGAATTCCATTTCGGAAGAGCTTCAGCGTTGGATAGCCACGAGTGACAAACTCCGCGCCGATATCCTCATGAACTGTGGCGTCCAGCTTTCCGAGTCGAATTGCTGAGCCATCTTTTTTGAGTCGAGTGGCTGCCTGTAGGCTTGACTATTGACTTTTGTCCGGATAATTCTTTACCTTGGCAAATTCGGGTTCAAGAGCTTTGCAGTGTCCACACCATGGAGCGTAAAATTCGACAAGAATGAACTCGGTTTCTCCAACGATATCATCAAAGTTTTCCTGAAAAGTGTCTTGGAGTTAAGTCGCTGAGCTACTCAATCGATTCTCTGACCTTTGTTAGCACGATGACATTCTCCTCTTCTTCGATTTCAACCCCGAAGACTCCAATGGTCAGCAGGAGGCTTAAGAAGATTGTCTTGAGCATGTCTAAATGAAAAATGACAATTGGAATAAGTCACTGAATCTGTAGAACGATAAACTGTTCAAAGAACAACAAACTTTAACCTAGATATCAACTCTTTCAGGCTCTTTTTCTTATTTTTGAGTTTCTAAGAGTTGGACAACTGCAAAGAGGGAAGAAATCTGTTCTAACTGCCATAAGCTATAAAAAAGAACAGGTAAATAAAGCAATTTCTTTTTCTATTTACAGAACCAAGTGAATAAAATGACAAAGAACTCAAGAAATAGAAATAGTTCAAATTGCTTAAAACCTGATTAACAAATAGTTATTATTAAGGAAAAATTGAAATGAAATTGAATGAAATCGGGCTCCAAATGTTCTATGACTTGGAGAAGAAAGAAAATTGGGGGCAAGAACTCTTTTTGCATTCCCTTTTCTTTCTTTCTCGACCCCATTTTGGTGAAAATGAAAGGATGGGGCAGCAAAGCGAAAAACAGGTTCTTTCTCAGACTATAGCCAAAAGAAAAGACAAGACAAGACTTCTCAAAGGGTTGGGTCAGTTTTTTTACTAAAATCAACTCGGCTTCACCGGGTCGATCATTTTTTTGCCTTTGTCTCTGAAATGGGGATCCTTGTAAAAGAAAATTTGATAGAAAATCGAAAAACTCGCAATTAAAAACAAGTTTGAGTTAGTAAAATTTCAAGATTCAATGCTTTATTCGAAAATTTGTATATGCTTAATTTGTATATGCTTAATTTATTTCAAAATCTCAAGTGTTATATAGAGAATTGTAGCCCTTAATCTTGGCTACATTTTGCTACAAAAAACTTCCCAATCGAATTGTTACGACTGATTTTACAAGTCCTTGAATGAGCAAAGAGCAGAGATTGACCAGTGAACAGAGATATGGAGACGCCTCTCCCGCTGCTCAAACACTGCTCCGGGTCCCGATGGTGTTCGCTACTCGGTTTGGAAGAAATTCGATGCTGGCTCGGTGATTCTAGCGGCCGTCTTCAATGCCATTCAACGTCTCAAACATGTGCCATCCAATTGGAATGCCTCGCGGACGATTCTACGGCACAAGAAGGGGGAAAAGTCTGATGTGACAAGCTGGAGACCTCTTTGTAATTTGTATATAATTTGTCTATATGTTGTAGCCGATTATGAATGAGTGGGTCCGGACGCGTCCAACCATCAAGTATTTGATATCATTCAACGCAGAATCATTAATAATTATGTTAAATTTTCTAAATTAGAAAGATTGGATAAAAAGAAAAAAAATTATGGGGCTTTAAAGTTTTCTCCTGAACAAACAGTTTTTTTGCTCTAATTTTTTTCTTTTTATCAAATCTTGCTAATTTTAAAAATTTAAGATAATTATCAATGATTCTGCGTTGAATGATAATAAATACTTGATGGTTGGCACCTCCTAGACTTGATGGTTGGGCGCTCATTCGTAATCGGCTACGGGGTCCCGCCGATTTTGAATGAAACGTTGTAGCGCCGGCAATTTTTAACCTAAACTCACAAATTTGGTACCAATCGACGCAGAATTTAATTCGCTACAAGATGATATAATATTGTCCTCATACATTAAAGGGTTGCTCTACTAGAAAGATTTGCCAAAAAATTTCATTCATAATTGGCTACGACATATATTTGTCTATATTGACGAGGCAAAGTAGATCAATCAGAAATTTATGTTTTATAACACATTAAAGAATGTTCAAATGTTTATGAAACATTCAAGAAATGTTCAAATTGTTATTAGAAAAACGAAAACTAAATCAGATATTTATCTTGTATGAAAAGCTTTACTTGTTAAGTTCATGCAATTTTGTGCAAAGTGAATTTGAATACAAGTATCTGATTGGCCAGAAAGTTTTGTCCCCTTTTTTTAAGGGTTAATTTTTAAAATGAATAATGAACAATCGATTTATGGCTTGTTTTAACAGAAAGTCCTATTATTTCTTTACAACTTTCCCTTTAAGAAATTCTGAAAAGCTCGGATTCGTTAATTTTTAAAAGTGGGAAGTCGAGCAGTCAAAAAAGGATGAAACGATGAAACTCAAAGTTCTGATTTGAGCACTTTTTGTCAAAGAAACCTATTTTTGTGTCTATAGATAAAAGATAGAGCACAAAAAGTTAGGTAAATAGACAAATTTTCGAAGAAATTGATTCAACCGATTTCATTTTATGTCCATTGTAAGGATTTTAGGAAAAACAAGAATTCCCGTTCGGATTTGCTTGAAAGCGGACTCAAATTTGCCTAAAAATGAGTTAAATGAAATAGTTAATCTTTTTTATTTAAAGAAAACACACGTTGATCGGCTAATTATTCATTTATAAACGAAAATTTCGAAAAAGTAGGACAAAACTTTTCGGCCAAAGCGATAATTACCGTATTTTTTTTAATATTATTGCCCCCCGGGGGGGGGGGTTTGTTTTTTTTTTTTTTTTTTGTTTTTTTGGGGAGAAAAAAAAACTTACTCCCCCCAATATATTCTATTTTTAAATTTTTTTTTCCCACCCCAAATGGGTTTTTTTTGGGGGGGTTTTAGGGTTTTGTAGAAATTTTGGAAGGGAAGGGGGGGTTAAAATAAAAGAAAAAAGATCATAAAATTACTAGAACTAACCTACTTGTTCTGTTCTCTCGGTTCTCCATTCACTTCTCTGACGTTGGGTGTGGAGGTGTAGCGTTGGATTGGAGCATTTTATCTCATTTAATCACAATAATATGAAAAAGTTCAAGAAATTAGCCATTTTGCGATAAAGAACAGATACAGAGCATCATTATTCAATAACAGTCAATCAGGAATACATAAGAAAGTTGTTTAGTCTAGAAAACAGTAATCAATCAATGAAATGTGGAAGAGGGAAAGGTTTGTTTTGCTATTGGTGTTGTTCTATAGTCTTTTTACACAAATGGCTTCACTATCAAATAGAATCGTTTATTATTCTTGTTGTTTGATCGTTTGTGCCGGATTTTCACTTGTTGTTTGTGAGCTATTTAATCCTTTTGATGTTTTTGTTAGACTGTAGACTTGTCCAACTGTTTTACAACCGTTAAATGGCGCCAAGAAGATGGTTAGTGCACGTCTACGGTAGGCCTAAACACTGAATTCTTGAAGCCAACAATGTAAGCCCACTCTAAACAGGATTAGTGTCAACAACGCATCAACGGCTGAGTATCCAGAGACAAAAGTTGTCACATAGATGCCTTGGTAGGGTTGAACGATGCCTGAAAACGCGTCTGATTAAAGGATAGACTTTTGTGGGTCAGTTTTACAAAGTTAACCCAGATTAGGTAAGGTAAGGTCCGAAGCCAGTTTGGACTTGACTTCTACCCTGGTTTCTACCGTGGCCTTGCTTTACCTGATCCAGTTTGCTTTTAGAATAACTCTACTTACAGATGTTCATCAAATTCTGATCATAAGTGAAATTTAGACTCGAAATTCTGTGCCCAACTCACCAAGAATCCCTCCATAAACCACCGCTCCAACTGGCAAACATTCGCAAACGAGAGGAGAGATTGCCTAAAAACTTTCACATACATTTTTTGGATATTTTTACATTGTTTGCTTCAATAAATTTGTCATTAAAGCAATTTTATGAAAAATTGTGAGCATTTGAAAAACAACAATACTTTTTAACCACCCTGTCACTTAACGTATTGTATTCTGGGCTCACCACCGCTAAGTCACTGATTTAAGCTAAGTCAGTGACTTAAACTTCTCGTTAAGTCAGCGGCTTAAGAATTCTGCTAAGTGACATAACTGACTGACTGACTTAAGCCTAGTAACTGACTAAGTCACCTCTCCCTAAGTCACTGACTTAAAATGCTGGTGAAACCGGGGCCTGGTTTTTGTTATTTTCAAAGATTTCTCACCTGAGCCAGCAGTACATTTAGCAGCTGTAATTGGATTCGTTTCTTTGTGGCTGGCATCACGGATTTCTTCACAAAAGAGTATCTAAACAAACGTTTCCATCTCCAATCAAATGCCCACTCACAGTTTGATACCCGTCCAACACACGATTGTATAGAAAATCCCGCAAACGAGGAAACAACCCGATCCACCTAGGATATCCCATCCATAATGCACTTGACCGTTCTCGTCGAGGTACTGAATAAATGTACGGTAAAATCGAGTTAAGTAAAATTGGCACAGGTGAAATCTTTTCCTAAAAGGGCTTTGAGCGAGTAACGGTAGTACTGAAACTTGTTAGATTACATAATAATTGTTCTAATAATATATAATAATCCTGCCGAAATTCTAACTAGCCAGGGTGTTTTGAAACCAGTTTTTTTTAATTCTACCCATTAGAAGGTTACATTTTAAGACGACTGTAAGTTGAGGTGATTGCTTGAAAAAGAATGGTTAAGTTGGACTTTATAAATGCTTGTAACTAGACTGTTTCTCCCAATAAATGGCATTCTTGTCTTTCCTTGTTAAATTTTAGGGTATTCACTCAACGATAAGCTGAGTAAATTGAAATTTGACGAGAGGGAAACGCACTCCACACTCTACAAGTGTTCACAATATCTTTTGCATAAGTTACATGATTGCTCAAATGTAATTTCCGGCATTTGTCCGTCTTCCCGCACCATTCTACCTTTTATGTGGGTCAATTACTTTTTTTACCACTTACAAAGCCTAGGCCGTACCAAAATTAGCCAAAAACCAAAAGCAAGTACAAGTAAATCATTTATGTGAGGTCAGAAAGGTCAGAATGGTGCAGAAAGTGCAAAAAGATCCCTAATTTCCTTATTTTAGCCATTAGAAGATTGAGAAGAAGCCAGAAAATTGCGAAGTCATCACATCCAAATGCGAGGCGTGTTGAGAGTCGAGAATAATCGAGCTTTTGCCCGTTTCGTTTCATGAGTTTTTGCTGCCCCTACGGATCGAAATCCTTGGGATGAATCCAAAATTCACAGCGGCTCCCTTCAGCACCTTTTTACAGGCACTTGGGGTCCCATTCCGACCGACGGAGAACCCGCCCTTGTGGTCAAAATGAGCCGGAATCGGGTTTGCCAATTCTACAGCCATGGTTAGTTTTGGGAAGCGGTGACCACATGGGGCAGACAACGGATTGGTTACCGGATGACCCAAAATGGACGCTTCCTATTTGAAAATTGAAAAGGGACTATATGACCAAAACTAGTATGCCAGATCGGGCGCGATTGTGCTCGCGCCCAGGGAACATATAACTATCTTTTTTTTGCATTTTAAATCCCAAAAACTTCAAATTTTTGAACAGAAAAAATGGTTTTTACAAGATTTTACAAGTTAGAACTGATAGAAACGACGCAATTTTTACAAGATAGAACTGATAGAACTTAAACTTAACTCTAATAGACCTGTGAAAGTCTGAAAAAAAGAGTCCAGACTGGTACAATTGCAAGTACAGAATTGGGCTTTGACGCAATTCTTAGTGACTAATACCCTTGCAATTTGACAAGATTTTTGCAAATGAGAATTAAGTAAAGTGTAAAGAAAGTCTGCAATTTAAATTTTACAGTAAGATTATGCATCTTATCGTAATCTTTTAGAGTTTTAGAGTTTAGAGTAGAGTTAGGTAAACAGTTTTAGTTCAATTCAACAGCTTTCTAATCTCACCTTGAACACGGAAGCGAAATAGTAAAGTCGGTCATCGATCGTTATTCCCATATAGTTTTTCATGTCCTCTGTCCAGTGAAAGCGCCGAAAATCCGTTGGCTAAATTGTCGTATTTTAAAGCATATTCTAGAAGCCATTCTACAGTATCTAGACAATTTAAAAGCTTTTAAAAACTCACGCCAAGTCCAAAGATGCCAAAACAAGCGTAGAGACCGGCTACCGTGAAATGAATAACGAAAAGCAGCAAGATCCCCCACCAACGCTTGAAAAGGAATTGGAATTGACTGAAACAGGAAATAAAAGCTAATTTGCAATAAAATACTATTAAGAATAAGTAGTTTCAACAATCTTTTGGCTAATGATCATTCATAAAACAAACCCTGTGATCATTGAGTATCGAAAGAGACAATGCACTCCAAGAAGACTCAGCGATTGAGCAAAAGTGTGCATGTAGAAAACCAATGCCCACCAATTTGCCAAATAGGAGCCAGAACGAGAGAAATTCTTGGATATACAAAAGAAACCACGTTTGTTGATTAGAAAGACCTAAAAGATTGAATTTGGACGAATCCAAAAGTCAAAACTAACCATTTCTGTGACTTTATTCACCACGGAAAAGTAGATGTTATAGATTGAGATTATTGCTAACATTTTCTTGTATTTTGTTGCGGAGACCATTGAATCGGTGACGATCACGTAGAGAAGGAAAATGTTGAAAATGATTCCAGCCGAGGTGGCAATTGTGGTGCCAATTGAATGGAAGTGAAGCTCGTCTTCCATTTCTGAACAAAGATATAGCTTTTTGGTCAATTTCAATGGTAAGACTTGATGAAAGAATGAATACTTTGTAACGGAGATGTTCTAAACGGGGCCAAGGACCGGGGCTAGTCTAGGACTGACTGAGCTAGTCTAGGACTCTGACTGAGTTAGTTCAGGCCAGATAAGACAAAACCAGTTGCCAGTCAGACAAAGCCAAACCTAGATTTGCCAGGTAAGGCTAGGAGCAGCCAGGTTCAGGCCAAAATGACCAAAAGACTTTTTGTGGGTCTGCAGCAAAGCCAGGCCAGAACTGGCCAGGCTGACTTCAAACCTGGCCTTGGTCCCACCTAGCTTGACTTGAACCAGAAAAATTACCTTGAGAACAAGGTCGTAAAGTGACAAATTGCCAAGCAATGTAATGGCAAAAAGATAATATAAATTTTCCTTAAAAGGCTTGGTTCATTCTTCAGGACAGACTCCAGGTACAATAAGAACAATAAGAACAATAAGAATGATTTCGTGGGAGCCTATCCATTGGGTAAATAGTTCCCGTTTCCTGGAATCCTTTCCAAAGCCAACTTTGAACCGTCTGGGAAATTACATGAGTCAGAAGAAAAGAGAAAAATAAAAAGGAAATGAGTTGCGAGTGTTTTAAACCAAAAAAAAGGATAAATGATATGAAATCGTTGAATGAATTTGAATTTGAAAATCCATCCTGGGTAGAAAGGCTTATGAAAGGGATTAAAGCATGAGCTCGGTAAATCTCTTGAAGCATTAGTCAGAAAATTGTTTTCATAATCTTTGAAAGTCAGACATGCTTCAAAACCGATTCAGACATTTTCAGCTTCTTCAGGTTTTCCGGATAAAAGATTGTCAGGAATCAGGAATGCTATAAACTAAAGTTGATTAAGGATAGAAAACATGAGACAAGTTTACTGTAGCTGTAGTTTCTCGGCTTTTTTCTTTGCTTTTCTTTGCTTTCTTTGTTTTCCAAAGCTATTGTACCTTTCCAAAGTCCAAAAAGTTTCCAAATTGTTTTTCGAAACCGCACTTGAAAGGGTCTAGTTGTGATCTTTGTTTCATTTGCCTGTAGCCAAAAGGAAAGCAATCTTGAAATCAGGACAATATTGAATGAAACTCATTCAATGCACTTTAAAGACTGAATAAGAGAATTCAAAGAAGTTGATTAAAAAAAGCATGAGCTAAAGGAAATCTCTTGAATGGAACGTCAAATAGAGAACTTTGATGACTTATGATCTTATTTTCGACCCCAAAAATGCTCAGAAAAAGAAAATAGTCACGTTTGGAACGTTTATCTTTTTTCTAAATCATAAAATTACCCCTTAAAACCTCCTATTTACCGTTTAGCATCCAAATATTGGAACTTGTGAGGCAAAACTTTAAGTACAAATGAAAAATTTACCGAAACTTTGCGTATTTGATTTGGAAACTTGCTGAGATTCTTTGAACTTCTATAAAATTCTATGAAATTCTATAAAATCAGTTCTATAGCTAATTTAAATCAAGTACCAAGCTTTTTCAAAACAACAACTTGAAAGTACAATAACTACATTCATCATGGTTGCATTTCAAAGAAAATCATTCAGGCGATGCCAAATCACTCAAGTCATGCGTGGGTTTTCGCAAGGAAACGGGTTCTTTGTACCAAATTCTGTGTCCAATTCTGAATAGACGAATCGAAAGTGTCCAGTGATCGGTGAAGAAATTATTCATAGATCACGTTCTAGACCAAATTTTCCAAGCCAAGCCAGGCCAGGCTACAGTTCAACTCAGAAAAAGCAATAATTGCCTGGAAATCTATGAAAAAGAAGTTGTATAAAGGGGATTTATGAAGGGAAAAGGTCAGGAGATGTTTCGCAAAAAGATTCGCATAAAGAGAATCGAAAGGACAAAGGGAAAACTTCAAGAACGGATCGAAGATGACAAGCCAGTACAAGTCTAACACCAAAACATGCCTTGTTCAACATGTTTAGGTTTGGTTTAAACCCGTGGTAGACAAGAATGAACAAGATTGTTTCGGCATAAATCAATTTTCTGAATGAACCCATTCCAGAATGAACCAATTTCCAGGTCAAGCGAAAATGCATGAAAAACACCATAGAAGGTCTATTAGGTTGGTGCAAAAGAAATTTCGGTCTATATAAAATGTTCTTATTTTTTTAATCTGAAGAGCTTATTTGATGTTCTTTTGTGCATTTGTACTCTTGGATATTTACTTTATTTTCGCATTTTTTCAAAGTCAGAGCTTTCACTTTTTAATTGATTTTTGCTTTAGATCATGGTGGATCAAAAGTATGTTCTGCGCACGTGTCTTCTCTATGACTTCAAAATGGGCAAAAACGCTGCTGATTCACATCGTGATCTCTGTTCCGCCTTTGGAGAACAGGTTATCACCGAAAGATCATGCCAGCTCTGGTTTGCCCAATTCCGAGATGGTAATGAATCCCTTGAAGACGAATCGCATGGACATCGTGCCACAGCCATCGACAACAATGAATTGGAACAATTAATTGAAGCTGATCCAATGCAAACAACACGAGAACTTGCCAAACATCTCAATGTGATCATTCAACAATTGTACGCCATTTGGAAATAATTGGAAAGACAAATCGTAATGGACAATGGGTTCCACATCAATTGAGTGTTGAGAATCTAGGAGCACGCGTTTCGATCAGCCATATCTTGCTCCATAAGTCGAAAAGAAGCCATTTTTTTTGAGAATATCTTGACGATGGATGAGAAGTGGATTCACTTTGATAATACTTCTCGAAAAAGACAATGGCTGAGCAAAGGTCAAGCGCCAATTCCAACTCCAAAGCCGGATTATCATGGGCGCAAAGTGATGTTGTCTTGCTGGTGGAATATCAATGGACTTGTTCATTTTGAATTATTAGAGCCCGGAAAAACAGTCGATTCATCTTATTTTATTCAACAACTCAAGAAGGTTGACGAAATTTTGCGTGAAAAAGGCCTAAATCCCTCAACTATCAACTTTCTCCGTGATAATGCTCCAGCTCACACGGCAAAAACCTCTTGTAAGGAACTAGAGAAGCTAGGATGGAAGGTCTTACCACATGCGCCGTATAGTCCAGACTTAGCACCCTCCGATTTTCACCTTTTCAGATCGATGCAACATTCCCTTGAGAATTGCCAGTTTAAGAATGCAAAAGAAGTCGAAAATTGGGTGACCAACTACTTTGCATCACAGAATCAAGCGTTCTTTGAGAAGGGGATCCGCAATCTGAAGCAACGTTGGAGGGATGTCATAGATAATAATGGTGCTTATTGTTTTAAATAAATTGTTATCTAAAAAAATTTTGGATGACTTTAATGTTTGTAAAAAACGAAATTTCATTTGCACCAACCTAGTAATTGTTCCTACATTGTTCCTAGAGTAAAATTACCAGGCCAAGACAAGCCAAACAGTAAGTAAGTAAGTCAAACAACTAGATAATTTGCGCTTGAGCAACTCGAGAAGATCTTAAAGTCCTTGCGATCTTTTTCCGAGAAAATCCTGGGTTGACGCTTTAAACCGTGGTAAAACTACGGTATCCCTTCAATTTACGCGAAATTTCATTTTTTTTATTCTTGTTCATTTCATTTTATTCTTTTGAAGGCCTTTTCAAATAAAAAGTCAAAAAACAAAGCTTCCGCCATAGAAAATGATAAAAACTACTTAACTTAACATTAGTTGACATCAAGTTCGTGGAACAGATCGTCGGGAAGAAGGTGGATCTAAAAACTCTACAAACAAAGCTTCCGCCACAGAAAATGCTGTTAAAAACGGAACTTAGCTTTATCCTTTTTGTTTACTAAAAAAAGAAATGCGGCTGTTTCCCTGAATCACCTTTTGAAAGTTTCGTGGTCTTTTGTCAAAAAAAGTTCGTTTCGTGGTCTTTTGCAATTTTTTTTTTAATAAAAAGTCTTCTGAAATTGTTTTTTATTTTATTAAGTTCCACATGCACCAGTTTATTTGATCAGAATTCAAAGAACAAGCGTATGAACAACAATTTTAGCATTCCAGCAAAACGCAAGGCTTGGTACGCATTGCGTTATCTCGGACACGCAAATGTTTGTGAAGACCTTCACATACAGCCAAGAGAGATATCCTTGCCAACTTTGTGATATCCTATTGAGCCCACGAGGGATTTTGTGCAATGTCGCCCAACGTCGACCCCAACTTTCAAACGACCATGATTCAGGGAAACAGCCAGAAACGCAACTACATCAGAAAAACGCAAAAGAATAAAATGAAAGGAACAAGAATAAAAAAAATGAAATTTCGCACAGATTAGGAGGAGTACGGTAGTTTTACCACGCTTGAAAGCGCCAACCCAGGATTTTCTCGGAAAAAGGTCGCAATTCTTAAATTGGCCCAGTAATAGATTCAAGACTCTCACATCACTCTAGGAGAATTTCCAAGAAAAGGAGGATTTTTTCACTATTAGTTGAGTAAAAACAAGTGCAACTGGACTGAAAATGTGTTTTGTATGTTCTATGCAGTAGATATTGTAGAAAGTGATACAATGAACGATGATGCATCCATTTATTGAACTCATTTACTTCTTTGAGTCCCAGTTCATTGCAATACATTCTTGAGTGGGAAACCAATTTTTGCACAATTCGGCCTCTTTTCCTTTGATTGCGTTTTCTTTCACTTTCTTCAGCTCAGTCAGAACAATTGTGTAAACAGTCGTTTTGCAGTTGGATCGCTGAAAACTTCGCTTGGCTAACTATGGCAGTTTTCAGTCTCAGCTTGGATTTTCCAACAACTTCAGCAATACAATTGGGAAATCATATACTGCTAAGCACTTGTCCAGGTCTAAGAGTTCCTAAAAAACCCACATTTTTGATTTTTCCTTCTGAAAGACTGTATGATGCACATTTCTCAGCAACTCTCCCAGCGAACACCGTTGGTTCCAAGTCTTTCCCTTGTGGATCATCGAGAAAATCTTTCACCCAGTCAAGGGCAATCTGGCAATGTAACATTTATCAGCAGAACTAGCTTTAACGTTAAAATTTGGTTACTCACCGGACAAAACTCGCAGAAAGCCAGCTTTGTCATATCAGCCGCGGAAATTGTTGCTGGATCGGGTTTCTTCGGGTCTGGAATGTCGACACAAATATCATCGATTCCAGTGATTTTCTGAATCCAATCACAGCATTTGATCACGTTCACAAAAATGCCTAAAGAGTTGATGTTTTGGAGAATGCTGGCTTTTACAATTCACCGATATTTTCTCCCTCATAGTTACATTCTTGCACCATTGAGACCAATCCGAGGAGAATGGAGCGAGAATGCGGGAATGCTCGAAAGAGTGGCCCACCAGAGTCACCCTGGAGTTGAAATTTGTTTGATCAAAGCGAAAATTGAATGTAAACGAGTGTGTGATTATGTTCATCACTACCGCCAAACGAAAACCAATTGCAGTGCTCAGTGATCATGAAACAAATCTCTCACTGCACATCCGCGCGAAATGCGTTTTCTGATGAAATTTCTTCTAATCTATACCATTCGACGTAGAATTGTGTGCTGATTTCAACTTTTTCAATATTATTATAGCATCACTTCTTAATAAACTCTAAGATTTTTGAACATTTTGAGCATTAAAATAAAGATAACATGGAAAAAGCTGTCCTTTTGCGCTGTTTTCTGGTGCTCGTCCCTAAAACCATAACCATAACATAACTTTTTATAGAAAGGATATTTTTGCATACTTTTTTACCAAAATAACTGCAACAAAATGTAAAAGAAAAATTATTAAACGAAATTTTTTTTTCTAATAAACTTTTTTTGAAAACCAGGCCTCCAAACTTTACCCATGTTTTCGGAAAATTGGTGGACTTTCTATTGGGTTGGGGAGAATGAGTCGGCGCCGAAATTTAAAGAAACTTTTTGCACCCATAAAACCTTCTTTAAATACACGTTTTGTTTCATCAAAATGGTCCACTATTTCTTTACAAAATGGCTTTTGAGAGATTCCACAAAGCTTTTCTTTTTTGGGATTTTATGGATTCCCAAACACAGCTAATCAAAATGACAAAAAGTCCGACTCATTGCTTGAACAGTTTCTTCCACATAAACCTCCTTTGGTGTTTATATAAAAAAGATAGAGCACACTCAATTACATAAGTTGCCAAATTTTCAGGAAGATCCCTCCAACCGTTTACTCTAGATGACAGTTTATCGATTTTGTGAAAAAATGATCCTTTGTTGAGTTGAGGCGCTGTTTGAGTTCTCTTTTAAATATTATTTTGTAGAGAATTAGTTACCCTTCTACGGATATCAAACGCATATCATTTGACAAAGTCTGCTATAAGTTTTAGAAATTTCTTTGATTTTCGGCGCCGACTCATTCTCCCCAACCCAATACTTTAAAAACTCTAGGTTTATAAAATAATTTGTTTGATGTTAAAATGTAAAAAAACTTTTCAAAGCTCTTCTTTTAAATAAAAACAAAGCGAAATCTGATTGCAGACTAGAAAATTTTTTGCTATGATCTTGAAAATATGATCGACTTTTAATTTTTTGGACTCTTCAGAAAGAGCTGCTTTTTGGTCAGACGGCTTTCAAAATCATTATGATCTTTGGAATCAGCACAAAATTCTGCGTCGAATGGTATATATTAGAAGAAATTTCATCAGAAAACACATTTTTACCATGTTTCGCGCCGATGTACACTTTTCAATCTTGGAAAAAACGAAAACCTGTACCTCACAAGCACCCGCATCCAAACTATAAGCACAGAGTTGAGTTTCATCAAACCGTTCCTTATCATCAGCATCCGATATTCTTGCTTTACATCCTTCTACACTCCAAATAAGATTCATGATAAGTGATTGGAGAATCGCAGGTTGAGAATTAGCACTTGTATTCATCATTCCCCATCCAATGATCTGCCCCTCGGCGAGACTTGGCTTAGCTTTCGGGATCACGATTCGATTGATCTTTTCACCGAATAGAAGAGGGTATTTGAGCTGAATTGAAATCAAATCTGAATCTTTTTCTAAACAGCTATCTTGTCAAAACCTGCAAAAGAGCCACGTCTCCTCGTCGAATCCCATTAAACCCTATCTCTACGTCTTTTAGAGTAAAATATGCAGCCACGAATCTTCTCATCTAAATCTTCTCATCTAAATCTTCACATCTTCAATCTTCAATCTTCTCATCTTCTTATCAAAGTTTAGATTAAGTTAAAGACTAGATTTGAAGCTTTAAAAGGAACAAGAAAAAGACCGACGTGAGTTGTGTCCAATGGCTGTTTGACTCGTTTAGTTCCCACCAAAACGAGGAGATCTTTCGCAAGTACGAGGCTGAAAGGGAAAGTGCAAAGACTTGCTCAAAACCCAACTATCGTAATTATTCTAATCTACCCTTCTCCAATAGAATACCCCTCTCTCGACCCCTCAAAATCGAGACTTTTCCGGACTTCTTTTTAGCTAGAATGGGAGATTTAGGTTTAGATAGAAGAATTTCATCCTCGGTAGTAAAATTGGAAACATCGGATCATTTATCACTTTCAAAAAATTCAAAGATTTCCACAGGGATTTTTTTGGGAGATTCTTTATGGGGTCTGGGTAAGAAAATAATTTCACATTTAAACATGTTTTTGGTGCGTTTTGAACCAAGGTCTATCGTTTCGAATACAAGGTGAGCCATAATTGTCGCAACAAGGTATCACGCTGATTGAAGGACAATAACTCATTGATTTAAGCTTCATTTCTGGTTTTATTTTGTGTTTTTATTGTATTTGGAATATAATTGAGACTTTTTCATATAAAATGTGTTGTTTTTTAGAATGGCTGGAAAATCCCCATCGACAATCGATCATCGAATTGCACAAGCGAGGAGTCTCGGTGCCGGAGTATAATAAGCGTCTTAAAGTCGACAGAAGTGTCATTTTCCGTACTATACGAAACTACGGGAACAATTGCTGATGCACCAAGAAGCGGTAGACGTCCAACTGTCGTCACAAAGACAAACATCAAGCGAGTGAGGGACCGAATTTGGAAGAAGCCAAACCAGTCGGCAAGGCAAATGGCAAAGAAGATGGCGATTTCAAGCACCTCAAAAATAGGCGCAAACTTACTGCTTACAAGAAAAACAAGGCTCAACTTCTTTTGAGTGCCGCTAAAAACAAGCGGAAATTGAAAGCGGATCAGTTATTAACGCGCCTCAATGGAATCGACCATCACAATATGTTTTTCACAGATGAAAAGATATTTACCTTTCTAGAAGCCAGAGCTTATTCAAAGCCCCAGAAAACATAGAAAGCTTGAAGAAATCACCGTTGAAAGTGTGGGAAGAGCTCGATCCAGCCTATTTGGTCGCCACCATTGACGCCTTCCCAAAACGCCTGCTCAAATGCTAATGATGGCCGATTCGAATTTGATATTTCATTTATAATTGTTACTGTACAATAAATGTTATTCAGTGAAAAATTTGTCTTTTTTTCCTCTTGTCTGCCTTAAAATCAGAACTTTATTTTGTTGCGCCAATTACGGCGCACCCTGTAGTTTTTAACAATTTTAAAATATTGATTCAAGTGGGGGACCCCTACTTACTTTTTGGCCGACCGATTTTGGGGGGTTGAAAAATAGAAGACCCGGGTCTATTGGAATATTTACGGTACTCACCGTTTTGGCTGCTGCACCATCTCTTCCAAACAATGTGCAACTGTGAGGATCCATTCCCGGGCAATCACCGTTCCCCCGCAAGCATACATCCAGCTAAAGTTGCTGTTTTCGATTTTGCAGGGTGATCAAAAAGTCCCCGCACACTTGTAAATGACTCATTTTTTAAATGAAAGCTAAAACAAAAGGCTAAAACAAAATTTCCCGTATTTTATAGTATTTTGATGCTGAAATTCTGATGAACATTTTTATAAGTAAGACTCCGATCAGAAATTTTTACCCTTTTCAAGAAGCCTGCATTCGAGGCAAACCGCCCATCAGACAAACACAGTTTCGCATGTTTTTGAAGACTATTTTACGTTTTTATTTTGACGAGAGATTTGATTCTTTTAAAATAACAATTGAACTGTTACTTGAAACAAAATTGTAGATTTAAAAGGTCTTTTGAAGGATTTTTCAATTGAAAAGAGTTTCAAATAGGTGAGCGCGATGACAGTTTGCCTCCAGCGCACTACAATGGTTCTTTGAAGAGCTAGGTGGCTTTGATCAGGATGGTTTAGGTGTAGAAATGCTCCCCAGAGTTTCAGCTTCAAAATACGATATAGTAAGTTGAATTTCGATTTGGGTTTTAGCTGAAAAATCGAGCTTCTTTTGTAACTTTTTGATCACCATGTAAAGAGGAGTAGTTAAAGTCTAACAGAAAGAGAAGTAGTTAAAGTCGAAATGCTTAGGCCAGCCGTGTGAACCCAGAAAAAGGGATCAGAACCCAGAAAAGCCAGGGCTAAATCACATCAAATTAGCCTGCCAATTCTAGGTTCAACACCGAAAAAACCCTGACTGATTTGAGATTTGACCAAGCTGCTCAAAAGATTGACTTTGTGGTTCGTTAGCAAAAATGATCATCGACAAAAACACAACAAAAACAAAAAGGCAAAAATGATCACTGACCCTTTACTCGTATTTATAAAGATGGCCGCCATGAATGGATAGTGATTCATCACTTCTCCACCATTATAAACCTTCAGAACACGTTTCTGAACTGATAAATATTACATTTTCTAGAAATTTTCCTTAAGCAAGACTTGAACTTCCATTATAAAGCTTACATCACTTTCATTATGCCCAAAAACCATCCACGGTAAAAAACAAAGAATACTTATTTTGTAGAATGACATAATTTGTACAAAACGCTTGAAAAGTTGGCTAAATATTTTTGTTTTCTTGATTTTCACAAGTCTTTTTGTACATCAAGTCTAGAATTTTAATGAAACTTGAAAAGTAAAAATGAAAAAAGAAAAAAAGCACGTGAAACTTCAACGCAATGCTAATGAAGCACAAAGTTCGACATCAAAATCGAAAGTGCAATTTGTCAGAAGATAAAGATCGAATGGAATTTCCTTTTCATTTCGATCTTTTCTTTCAGTCAAGAAAGCCAGAGCTTGTCGTTGTTTTGCTCAAATGACTGTCTGCAAACAGTGTCAGCTCAAATTACTAGCGCTAAGCATTCTGAATTTTTGTGTGAAGCTTCACACAGATTCATTTTTTCTGATTTTAGATGATTTCTTTTTGTCTTTTTGCCAGCTTTCTTGTTTTATCAAGTCAAGGAGATGATTCAATCAAATCAGCAGGTAAAAATTGAATATTTAACCTTATCTGGAACAGTTTTGATCTCAGATTTGACCAAATTCAGCTGTAAGGTCCATTTGAATCGGGTTTAAAATTGATCAATGATTAATTAGAGCAATTTTCAAGCCTTAAAATGTAGACAAAACAAAGGATAAAGCAAGAAAATACTGAATTAACGTTCTAGATTCACCAACAGTCCCGCAAATCCCGATCCGACCAGCTCAAGATCAGCCAGGTTCGGTGAGGTGAACAATGTTTTGTCAAAACTCCCAACCATTCAGAATTTCCATGAGGCGGGCATCTTTTTTTGTCAAATTCCAAAGAACGGAGCTACAATTATGCAAATTATTCTGTGCGATCTTTTTCGATATTATAAAGGGATTCCATTCAAAGTGGAATATGGACAGGGAAAGCAATCGAGGTAAGGAAAAGTGAAGAAAGAAGGAAAGTTGGATGACTAGAGTGCCGAAAAAATCAATATTGAATTGAACAAGAGAATTCGAAAGCTTGTCACATGTGTTATATGACTCCAATTCGAAAGCTTTTGGTACGTAAATGTAGCCAAGTTCCCGGGCTTTAAATCTCTATATAACACTTACCACTTTTGAAATAAGTTAGACATTTGCTAGCTGCTTTTACGAAAAGTTCTGCCAGAACTTTTGGATCATCTTGTATTAGCCTGAATTGTTCATTTTGAATTAGCTAAGTCCACTGAATTGCAAGCCTGTAAGGTTCTGTCTCAAGCATAAACTTGAGATTCAAAATTTTCCTTCAGCAATTGTCAAGCGGAAGGCTGGTACAAGAAGTTGAGTGGGATTCGAAGTCAAAACAATACATGGGAACCGAATCAAGAAGACACGCTGATTGCCGTCATTCGTCACCCGCTTAAGCGCTTTCTTTCGCTCTATAGATACCTATGCGAGTGAGTGATTGTATCAAATACTAGACATACTTGCTATTTTTTTAAAAGTTTCTGTTAGTTTAAAAGTTTAAAAGACATACTTGTTCTATTGTTCTTTAGCTAAAGCTATTGTTAGCTATTCTCCAGGCAACTCCAAATGTGCGGCTCGGCAAATATTCACGAATTCACAAAAGATGTCTACACTTTGCTCACGACGAGATCGACTCATGGCACTCATTTCAAAGATTCTGATCAAAAAATCGTTGAATACCATGCACAGCCCCAAACCTGGTAATCAGATAAGAAAGAAGTTTTAATACTTGTACAATTCTAGGTTCATTTTGTCTTTAAAGTGCCAAAGTTCTATTCTGAACAAAAGAAGTTTACTGTTAGAGCTTTAGGTTCTGCATTTTGTCTCACAACAGTCAGAAGTTTCACTTAATCCGCAATGAAGGAGATCGACTGGCAATGCACAGTGAACTGAAAACAGCTTTTGAAGAGGCTAAAGTGCCGAAGTTCTATTCTGATCAGGTAGACTATTGGACAATATCAATTGTATCAGTCATCAGCTCCAAACTTCCATTAAGTCATCTATTAAAATACTTAAGTTCAGAGCTGAACTTGGCTCTTAAAGAGAATAAATATTAAAGAGATTAAAAGGAATTTAGCTATTGCTGAGCTTTACAAAACCTAGAGTCCATATTTTAGGTCTTGTTCCATGTTGTCTACTCCGATACAGCACATGCGAATAAAGATAAAGATCGCACAAAACAGTTGGAAACTTCATTTACACAAAATCCTTTGTCAATGGCCTATTTCAACGCGATCTACTACAAAGATTTTGAGCTTTTCGGTTATCAGAAGTGATATATTTATTGAAGTCTCGTATTTCTCTAATAAATTGCCCGGCATTTCATTTTGAATGCCATGAATGAAAACTCACGTCATAGAAACATTGGTCTACGAGTCCGCAATAGTGTACCAATTTGTAGCTTTCCAAAAGTACTTATGAAAGTATGCTTATTTTGTTCGTCTTAATCAGTTTGGGAATCTCAAACACAGTTCGACACTCAAAACCCTGTGCGTTTGAATGATCGAATCTGGGACTGAGAGTCACTTTTGTACTAAATTTATTGGTCAAGCATTAGAACCAATGTGTGACAACAATAGTACTAGGCTCGTAAAGAACATTAGCTAGTTAAGAATTGAATAATTTTGAACGTGTACTCGAAAAATAAATAGCAAGATAGCAGAGAAAAACAAAATAGCACTTGAACGTGCCCAATGATTTTCAGGTGAATTATACGAATAGCTGACTGTTTGTATTACAATTTGGCTGTATGCTTTAAAATCTTTCGTTGCAATGTACAAATAAAATCGTTTCAGTGACTTTTATCTACCCATAATAGAGAAATACACCGCAAGATAGGCATTGCATTGCATCAAAGAAAAAGATAGGCATTGCAATATCAAAGGAATAAAATTTGGTACATATGTACAAAAGGTACAGAAATCATGGGAACTCCTTGAAGTGAGGATTCCATTTCTGGACCTCGGGGCTCCAGTCTCGACATTTGGCGGGCCACTAAATTTGTGTTTTCAATAAGAATTGAATCTCTAATTGAATCTTCTACTTTTAAGAAACAGCTGTGATTTATAAAAACCATTT